AATGAGTTGCCAATTTTTCGTTTGAATTTTCACTTTTATCTCTTTTTTCATTGCTCGGGGAAAAATTTTACCACCACTTTCTTTTTATAATTAAATTTTTTACCTAATAAACGTCTTTGTAAAATCTTTGTTTATTATTACAACGGACTAATGGTAACAAAGCCGAAAAAAAAATTGTTTGAACCAAAAAACTTTTAATGAACTTAGAAGAAAAAATGATCATCCTTATTTAAAAGTTAACGTGAGAAAAAGTTGATACAAAGTTGCACAATAAAAAGCTATTTCTTAAATTAGAGAACTATTATAAGTTTTTATTAATAAGTTTTTTAAAAGTATACTTTAAAGAATTAGTAGAACTTTTTACATACTCAAATTACTGATTTACTAAGTTGATTCACTCTTAATAACGTATTCGCTTTTAACTGTTCTTGTAAATTATTGTTATTTATTATATACGTGATAAATACATTTTATCATAAAGTTTTTTATTTTCTAAACTTGACATTTTATCCTACACATAATCGCTGTATGTATCCAACGTCTACAAAAAAGCGAATAAAAGCGAATGGAACTTTGTTCCAACTGGAGGTCAATAGACCCCTTATGCCTGATTTTTTTTATGTTAACAGAAGTATTAAGTGATGTATAAACAGCAATAACAATTATGTCATTGTCTTATTGTACAAGGCATTTACATTGACAAATTTCTCCTATCGAACTCTCACCAACATAAATACTTGATATATTTGAAATGCGTAAATTTTTCAACTGTTTAAATTTTTGTACCATTTGGTAAAAACTCACACGGTGGCATATATTTTTTCGATGTTTTACCTTGAAAATTTCTACTTGACCCGTTTTTGATTTTAGAGCTTCTTGAGTTTGGTTTTACTTTCAAATTTTCGAACTCCAGTTACGTCACTCAATTTATACTAAAGTTTTTAAATATCTTATGACAATTACGAACTACTATTTATTCATGATTGAGAAACAATAATATTGGAAAGAGAGAAAAAGAAAGAAATAAAAAGAGAGACAATGAGATCGTGCTTGCGCCACTACATGCACGTATTGTACGGTATATTGTACTACTCGCTGTTGAGACAGCATGCAGTGGTGAAGAGACTAACAGGGAGAAAGGGGGCAAGGAAAAGTATTACCCTTTTAACGTGTTATGAAAAATAACTATACGGAAAAGCAAAATTAAGGCATTATCCACAGGTATCCAGTTTCACATGATTCGCGAAACGTGAGAATAATTTTTTTTTATCTTTAACATAAAGGTACAGCAACGAGATTATCAAATTGTAGAGTACAAAATTGGTTTTTGAAGCCTTAATAAAGTTATAAACGGGGACGTAATAAGTAGAGATTATGTTTAACGGTTTTTGGTAAATATATCATCAGAGATTTGTAGAGAGATTGCTGACTTTAATGCTGCGATGTGAGTTTGCTTTTTGCTACTCTTTCAAACGTCCTATTACAGCTAAGCAGCCTAACCAGGAGCGCATTTTTTTTTTTGTTATTTGAGAAGCATGGAGGGGGTATGGTAAGTGTGTGCTAACGGATTCGCATAGAAATGTGCGTGTTCGCATACACTTTAAAGACGCACGCCAAGTGTGTAGGCACTTATTTTAGAGGCGCATAAGAAAAGTATGGTAATAGTAAGCTTGTGAAATGTTTAATTTATTTTAAAATGATTATAGTTAACACAAAACCAGAAAGTAAATTTTGCAAAAACATTTTGTAAATAATTTGACAGTGGTTTCTTAACACTTCAGTTTGTTTTTTATACGCAAATAATGTAAGATATTATTTGCGTATATAGGTAACAACAATCTTTTGGATTGGGTGGCATCTTTAATACCATATGCTAAGCTGTGTGCAAGTCATTTCGCAAATGATGATTTCGTATAAAACATCGATGGAATAATTCACTTGCGCGCAACCACTGTTCCAATTGTTGGGCGATCGGCTAAATCTCAGATTATTTAACAAATACCTTAGCAAACCACATTAGTATGTGTTACGGATTCTACAGAAAACAACGAACTTCAAGAAAGTCAAAGTCAAAAAAAACCAGTCGCCAATGTACAAGAGCCAAAAATGAAAAGTGATTTTGGAGGATAGCAAGAGATTACAGATTGTAAGAGCGTATCGGTTGAAACCACCACAGAACAATGTAATGAAGCGCATTACAATGTTATTGAAAACAATACATCGTTTAGTGTGATGAAACATATTAATGAGTCATCATGCCCTTCTGGAAAAGATGTATTATTGAAAATTAATAAAAGTGATTAAATGAGGTCTATTTAAATTATAAAATTGCTTATAATGTTCGTACAAGTAAGAATGATGTTATGCCTGATTACGTTGCACCTCAAGAAAACTCTGTGGCTAAGCAAAATAAAAATGAGTAACAGCAAATAGGTTTTTTAAATTTAAATTTTTTTTCAGAGAATATACAGAGAGGTTTTTTTGGTCAGAGGTTACATTAGCAAGTTTAAATTCGCTGTTGTAGCAGCTTCCTGCTACAGTTTTTTTACACAAAATCCTTTGGTAAGAAGTAACGCTTTCTCGTCATTGATATATTGGCTTGGCTATTTGACGGCTGAGTGCTACATAGTCTTTACTGTTTTATTTAGCATTCATGTCAAAGCGGCAAGAAGATCGAGCAACTTCTGTCAATACAGGGGCTGCACAAAGTCTAAGATTTTTGGTAATAAGTTCTACAGATATCCAGATTCCACTTATCAAAAAAATCGTCATAACACGTTGGTTTTACATACGGGTAAGTGTCAATTAACTTATGTTTACTATGAAGTTGGTTTGAAAAAATTATTTTGGTACAGTTAGAGAAAAATATGTTTAAAAGTCGCGGTATTTATAACCTCAATTTTGTTTTGTTTTTTAGCTGACAACGTTTATTATAAAAATTGATATCTGTTATTTTAACATGAATGCATTGAGAAAAACGTAGTAAAAAAAATTCTAATCAGTGTCAATATAGCGTTATACATCTAATTTCACCTGCTTAAAAAACCGTAAATAAGTTACATTTTTTTTGGGGCCCTGCTAAATTTGTACAAAAAAAGTTTGTACAACGAATTTCTTATTATAGTTCAAAAAAAGGGGCACTATGGGCTTTTTAACATGTGTCTGAAAATCGAGATTGAAACTTACTGAATAAAAATTAAACCTTACTACTACACTGAAAAAACACAAAAACAGCTAAAATTTTCAACAAACTTTTAATAAGTCGACAATCTAACGCTTCAAAAAGATACGAGACATTCTGTAGAGTTACGGGCTTTTAGGTGACGAAAAAATGTTGTTTCGTTTGACGTAGTGATATTAATATTTTGAAAAAGTGATACGTTATTTATGACAAGTAAATGTACGTGCAAAGTTTTAAGAAAATCGCGTCTGTACTTATAGAGATATTTGCATAAACGTAAGAAAATTTGTGTCTGGCTCGTATGCTATATTTATGTGGGGTACAGAACGCACTAAGTACACTATCAGCCGTTAGCTTGACTGTTTATGAAGCGCGATGGCTTTTCGCAAAATAATTCCTAGAAGTCGTTGTTCTCTAAATTATGATCCAAAACTTGGTGTAGCTTTTTATGAAACCTGGTGCTTTATTGCCATATTAACTGTTACATTAAGTTCTCTTCATTTAAAACTTCATAGCACACTTTTATAAAAAAAAAATCAGATTGACTATACCATTAACTACTTACTTTTGTCTCCCATACAAAAGTAAGGTAAAGTACCCAATTGTGGTCCCCTAAATGTTGAGCTCAGCCATATAATAAATATTACACACTCAAAACACCGATAGTATGCAAAATTTTTTTGTTTAATGCATTTTAAATGCCTTTTTGAATGAAACTTTACAAAATTTATTTAAAATTTTTGCTCATTTATTTAATAATTAGCTTTTAAAAATATGACCTTTAAGACCATATTTTTTAGACTAGACGGCGAAGTACCCCAGTTGTTGGACCACGCATATTCCATGGCAAAGACCTTGCATACCCCAATTATTGGACCGCTGTGTGTTTTCGCATTATTTACGCAGAGCAAGTGTATTATGAGCTTTTTATGAAGATTTAGTAATTTATATTTACTATTATAGCCTTTTATTTTAAATATTCATTAAAGTTATGATATCACAGTAAAATTGTAATGTTACAAAATATACCTAGATTTAATTTTAAAAAATGAACACTTGGGTATACAGTTACAAGAAGTTCTCGTGATACATTTGGAAATTAACTATCAGATTTTATATCGTACTGCAAATCATTAATCTGTTTTTGAATATCTTTAAGTTTCATTTCAAATCTAAATTTATCATCTTCAATATTCTTTTTCTCTTCGATCAAACCTCTTTTAGTTTCAATAATTTCTTCTTTTTTTATTTTTTCTGCAATAACTTTTATTTTTTCTCTAAAACCTTTGATAACATCTCTTGAATCCATTTCTGTCTGAAAATATAAGTACCTATGTGAAAAACAGTAAGGAAAATTGAAAGTGTGCATGCATCTTTTGAACTTTTATCATCAATAAAGGCTTGAATTTAATGAAAACTTAAAAGCATTAGCAACTTCTTCATAAGTAGGGTTATGAGAATCTGTTTATATTAAGTAATCGTACAACAATCATCACTGAGTCAATTGTGTGATTGAGACGGTAAATTATACTTACAGTAGCACTTTAAAACTGATTTACTGACGATTAAACCATTGTAACCAGCAAACTAAAAAAAAAAATACACTCTTACAATTGGGGTACTTTGCTTGAACAGTGGGACTGAGCAAAAGGGCCGGTAATTATGAACCGTTGTGATTGCGGGCCAAAAACTGGGGTACATTCACCATAAGGACACCTTTTGATGGACCATCGAAATTTTTAATGAAATTCTATTTTTTCAATTTTTTATTTGTAATACGTCAAATCCTTAAACTATAAGCTTTTGATTCATATGAAAAACATTGCACAAAACATAATACAAAATTTTAAACCTGTATTTCAAAGTTGACGAAAAGCGCATTAACACCTGCATAACTAAACCGACTTGCTATACGCACTGCATATGACGATAATAAATACGTTGAAAAACATGCTAATTTTATGATAATCGAGAGAAAATTTATTTAATTCTTTGCTCAATGCCTTATGTTTTGATTTACTATTAACTTACAGGCTTTAAGCTTGATTAACAATTATTTATTATTGGTTAATTCAGATATGGACCATTAACTGGGGTAAGGGGACCACAATTGGGTACTTTACCTTATTTCTGCTATTTAATTTATAATGCATAAGACTAGATATCTTGAAAAATATTCTATAATATTTTCAAGGCTCATTGTTAATACACTAATAAGTACTGGTAAGTTAAACAAAAGTGTTAAGTTCTTACACTAACCCCTTTTTTACATTCGAATCTAACAACAGGCAACCATGTTTTTATAATGAAAACAAGTTAATTTGACTGCTTCACCGTCAGAAAAAAGGAATGCAGCTGTGATACAAAACAACTCATTTCTTACTTATATAATTGTGTCTGTATTATTTATTCACCAAATTGTTTGTGATTCAGTAATAAAGGATTTCTTTTGAGGTAGTAGAAAAAAAAATTAACTATAAAACTGCTTCTAATATCCCATGCAAACTGCTCCGGTTGCCTCAATTTCCAACCTGGCGGTCACTTCGATTTTACACGTTATTGTAATATTAATAAGGGCAGGTAAAAGAATAAAGAATTTTTTTATTTGTTCGTAAGTTATTTAAATATATTGCGTGTAAAAAAAAAAGTTTAAAGAAACCATACTTTAAATTTACTAGTATTTTTTGGTGATACTCATAATAACCCAAACAATTGTGACGGTATGAAAATAAGTTAAAATTTACATACTTTTGACTGGGTGAATGGCTGCAGCGATGAGAACTGCTGACGATGCTGCCAGAAAAGACGATTTAAATAAAAATAGCATATTTAACAAGACCAACTAAATTTTTTTCGAAAATCATTTTTTGTTACTTGCAAGGTTTTCAAATATATTATACAAGTATTTGGCATAAAAAAAACTAATAAGATGTTCAACAGATGTAGCAGAAAAACAAATAAATAACAACTTTCCTCAGTGGTTTGAGAAAAGTAGTGCGTATTACGAAAATAAAGTAGAAGCTTTAAACATTTTGTTGATAGTGAAAGTTTTCAAAACTACTCTAGAAAAAATTGGAAACAGAAAGCAGAGACAAAAAAAATAAGAAAACTAATAATCGTAAGTTGCTTACTGTAGAAAATGTGAAAATTCTAATTTTTTGTTGAAGTTATACATATTTCCATAAGGCTAAGTATAATATCACCAGGAACAAAGACCACCTAATAGCCCTCCTCCCCCCTGAACATATGCATCAACAAATATTTTGATTTAACATACCTCATCTAGCAAGTTTATCGTTCGTATACCTATAACTATGACTATTAATTTCCAGAACAACACAGAGCTCCTAAGCTCGATAAATAAAACATTATCTGAACCAGAAACAAAAAAAAACATGAATATTTTAAATACAGTTTTTTACGCACATATTGCTTTTCAAGTACCCTTAAAATTAAATGGAAACTATTCTCATAACATACAGCTGCTACTTAAATGTACAAAGGATCGGAGAAATATTTATTTTCCAAGCTTATATTGCCTAAGTAAAAGCGACCGTAAGATTTTTTTAGAGATTCTTTCCTTCACGTTATATTTTCGAATTTTTCAGAAACTCTTGATTTTTTAATGTTCTGACATCACATGTCATATACGTAATATTTATTACTCCGAAATACATACACATCGAGAAGTACACATATTTTCATAATTACGTGACAAATTCTAAAGCTACCATCGTAGAACTGGAACTACGCATGCAATCTCCGACAATTTTTTAAAGCGCTTATCTTACAATATCAATTTGCAGTGCTACATCCAAGAATGTGAATAATCAACAAATTCAATATTCTTTACTGCGTACGTCCACAAAAAAGATCATACACAATTTCGACAGCAACTTGCACTTCATGTAAAATTCCAGAAATCAGCAGTTTTAACCATCAATTACTGTGTAATTATTGCACCACAACAGTGCTCATGTCAATCGACAGTAATTAGGTTGAGCTTTGATTGGTCGTTTGGATCTCCAATCTGACGCATCTTACTTAAGTTCAATAGCATAAAAACTGTCACATAAGAATTTTTACCTTTTTTCTTTTATCAAGTGCTCCAAAGTTACTATAGAGGTTGGAGAATACAATTTGTTGCGTCTTTTAATCGAACGGAATACCTAGTTCCGTGATTAAGCTACCTATTAAAAGCGTGAATTTCAAGCAAATGTAAAACTTAGTTCAGTGACTAAGCTCCGTGAAAAAATCTCGAGCAAACCAGACCACTGCAGACTCGCCTTAAAAGTGAATCAAGGCAAAATAAGAAAGGAAGGATGGTCAACTTGGGTTCCAACGTTAAAATCA